ACGACGCTCGCTTGTCAGTTCCTTCCCTGTGTGTACAAGTCCCCAGTGTGCTCCACGGGTCGAGGAGCGAATACCTGCACTTCCGCCTCTCGTCTTTCTACACCTTCCTTATTTGCGTGGTTGACACGGCTTTCCTCCCGACCGACTGCTAAAAATGAGAATTGTAAACATTTTAAACGTCTCCGACGTGAGTGTCGTTCACATGCATTTACTATACACGGGCTATATATGCGGGTTCTATACAGGGTCACACGAGTCTCTCAAAAGAAATCCAAATGATGCTTCTGACAGGCAAATCTATAGCTGAATTCTCCACAGCAGCCCCACTAGCTGTACCCCCTGGCTGTACCCCAGTAATACTGTCATTCCCTGCCCCACACGCGCCCCGTCCTGAACCAGCGCTGAATCGTTTTAAAAGGACAGTGGATAACTGTTTTGGAAAAATAAAATGGGCTGAAAACAAAATTAAAAAGACCCTGGAAATAGTGTTTCATTTTCAGCTCTAGCTTATGTCGGTTGGTCTCCGAATCATGCACATCAACTTCCCCTGAATCGTGGTCTCTTCTTTTTAACAGAGATTTTGAGAATATCAGGGATGTGACTCCAGCATTTTCTAATTAAGAAGAGTCTATCACATCAAATGTTATACCTCAGAGACTGCGCTATAAGTATCTTCATCTAGGTCGGCTGAGATGTTGGCGGTGGGGTTAACTGATGCATGGAAGCCTATGATACGTCTCGAAACTGGGGAGTGTTAACCTTCCGCCTTCATCCTTTTTTGGGACTGTTTTGGTCCTCTGCATTTCCATAAAAATTTTAGAATCAGCTTGTCAATTTCTTAAAAAAAAAAAAAAAAAAAAAGCTGCTGGGATTCTGACTGAGACTGTGTTAACTCGGGGCGAACGGATACCTTAAGGGCACCGAGTGTTCTGACCCCAGACTGTGACCCACAGAAATCTAAAGGTAAGGGCAGGGGATAATCTTCGTAAGAATGTCAACTACAGGAAAAAAAAAGCTCTCTACATGACCTGATTTCGAGTCATCAAAACGAACACGTCACGAGTTCTCCAAAAGACATGCCGTTTACATGGCCGTTATTAGGAGCTAAGCAAGTAGCTGACCGTACAGGTGAATGTGTCCCCACCAGGTGTGCAGGTGCTCAGCCAGGGCACCGACGCGACCCTTCCTGAGGCAGTGGGTGGTGGGCCAGTGGGGAGGTCTCCCTGGTGCCACATAAGACTAATGTTGACTTTCAAGGCCGTTTCACTCAACATGAGGATGCTGTTTTGGTTTGTATCCTTGGGCAAGCTCTTGATCTCCTACAGAGGAGGCCCTAAATCATGAACGTGTCCCTAAGTTACATAATTATGTAACATGTTCATTAGACTTTGGACATAGTTTATTTTCTTCCTAGCTTTAATGACCAAGTCAAAGAATGTACCAAAAAAAACCCAAAAAAACAAAAAAAACAATCTTCTAGCCCTAAAATATTTAACGGGAAAGAACTGGCTCGTAAGCCATAAGTTTCCTTTTCAACTCTGTGTGGTCTAAGTCAGGGGTCCCCAACCCCCGGGCTGGGGACCGGCACCACGTGGCCTGTTAGGAACTGGGCCGCACAGCAGGAGGTGAGTGATGAGCAGGCAAGCTAAGCTTCATCTGTATCTGCAGCCGCTCCCCAGCGCCGGCATCACTGCCCAGCTCCACCTCAGGTCATCAGGCATTAGATTCTCATGGGAGCACCGGTCCCTGGTGCCACGAAGGTTGGGGACCACTAGCTAGATTGTGCACCTGGTCCTGTCTGATCAGGTGGGCAATACAATTTACTTGAATTCAAAACAAATCGATTAGAAACAGCCCTCGCTGTTTGAGCTCCAATAACACCAGCATTTATGAACCATCTGCATAAAGCATAATTTTAACCACTCCAACTTTTTACGTGTTGGAATTTTAGTGCTGGGTGTCTTCAGAAATTCTTACCCTGGTCAGAGGGGGTTTAAGTCTGGCAGCCAGGGCCACACTAGTGTACAGGGACCGAAGCAGGGGCGTGTTCGGAGAAGCAGCACACACAGGGGCAGGGACCTATGGCCCGTGTAGTCTCGGGCTGGTACTAAGTCCGACCGGACCAGTGGAGATCCGGATGCGCATTCCCTCCTGCAGCCCCAGTCCCCGGCATGCCCACCAGAGCCGGCGCCCGGGGTGGGTCCTCGGGAGGGAGGCAAGGCCTGTCCCCGCGTCTGCCCCTGCGTCTGCACCGCGGGGCTGGGCAGCGGCTGCGGCAGGGAGCCCCGGGGACCCGGGGGACCGCTGGGCCAGAGCAGAAGTTGGAAGGAGGAAGGAAGGCAGAGGGCAGAGCGCGCGGCAGGACGCTACTGCGAAGCTTGTGGCCTTTTGCCCAGGCTAACATTTACAGAGCAGGTAAGGGGGGACCGTCACTGGTAAGGTGAACACAGAGACATCTCCCAGGCACACATTCAGCCCTCCAAGGTTGTCCTTGGGATCCGATCCCTAGCAGGTGCGGTGACATGTGCCCTATACGCTTACCTGAGCTTAAGTTTTACCCTGAGCTCACGCGGCCGGGCACGCGCCCACTACACTCATCCGCGTGTCTCAGGCGAAGCGGCGGCGCGCGCCCCCGCTGAGCTCGCACACGTTTACCTGGCGAGCCTCTTCGTTCACTGCCTTTCTCAGCATCAGCACATCTTCAAACAAGGGCCCATCTGTCTCCATTGCAACCGGGATGCTCATGGTGCTCGCTTGACTATACACTGCGTACTGCAATGCAAAGTGGGAGTCACTCTCCGTTAGCGCTCGGGGCCCGGCTCCGGGGGCTCCTGGCCAGGGGCGCGCCTTCCCACCGACGCCCCCCAGGGCCCTCTGCCACGGGGCTGTCCTGCCTGCGCCTCCAGGGCCCCGGGCCCGCCAGCTTCCAAAACCCGGAACGCTGTGTACTCTCCGCTGCGGTGAGGACCGCGGGGCCCGTGCCAGGGGTCACGGCCGCTCTCCCCGGCCCCGGTGCTGACGGACAGGTGGTGACACCCGCCTTGCAGCCTGTGGTGTCCTGGCTCCGCGTGAGTGACGCGCCGCACGCCCTGGATCTGGTCGCGGGGCCTGCCTCACCCGGAGACCGCCACGTCCAATTGCCCAGCCTCGGCCACCCGCCAAGCTCGCGGCCCTTCCTCCTCCTGGAATCTCCCTTCCTCGCTCCTTCCCCCGTCCCCCATCGTGGACAGGCCGCTGTCCACACTGCCCAAACCACACAGCTGCCGCCCTGAGGTGGCACCGCTGGGCAGGACCGGTGTGCCTGCTAGTCCAGCACCCGGACAGTGGGGTCCTGGACCCCACAGCTTCCCGCGGCTCCTCCCTCCCCACGCTCCCCGGCTCTGCTGCGAGTGGCACACTGTGCGCTGCTGGCCTCTGACTTCGTGACACGGGGATAAGACGGCTTCAGTTACATGAGCGAAGGGACACGAAGCAGCGTGACTATTAGTGTTTAGTGTCCACTCCCCCGTCGGGGCGAGGGCAGGGGGCGGGAGAGACGCGCGTCTGCTGTGAGCCGGTGCTGTTCCAAGTGCTCCGCACGCCTTGCCACAGACCCGCCGTGGAGCGGGCGCTAGGCCCCAGGCCCCGGCCAGTGGGCGACACTGGCCGTCCCACCCTGACCCTCCTGCCGCACGTCCTCCACTCGCCGCCAGCTGACCGCCCGCGTCCCGCTTGCGTCCTTTCTGCCGGGAGGGAGGGTCCCCCTCTGCCTCCCTCGCCGCCTCTTTCCCACCAGCATCCGGGAAAGGAGCTGTCCCAGGGCCCCTTCCCCACGGCCAGCAGCCCGTGGACTGACCGCCACCCTCCCCGGAGCTCCCGGCCCGCCTCGCACGTCCTGTGGGGCCTCAGGCCGTGCCCCGCGGCGCCGTCCACCTGCCCAGGCCGTCCTTGGACACGCCGTTCATCCCCCGCAGCCGCGCCCTGGGCGCCGTTTCTTCGCCACCCGTGGGTACCCGGGTCCCCACAGCTCTGCCCGAGGGGGCTCCCCCGGCCGCCCCGCTGGGGACGAAGAGCTTTCTGTAGCACAAGTCCAGCTGGGCCACCGCGCTCCTCGTGGCACTTCGACACCTATACGCATTTCTGGGGACAAGCCCCCAGCCCCCCATGGTGTGACCGGGCTTCCCTGCTCTTCCCCCCGCCTCCTGAACTCAGACTGGTTAGGCGCCCCACCTGCACGGGGCCCAGCCCTTCTGCCGGGCTGAGGGCCCGGGGACACTCAGGACCGTGGCCGCCCCGCGCCTGAACTGTTTCCTATGTGTCTGTCTTCAGGAGCGTGAAGTAGCCCCTCCCGTCACCACCAGGCACACGCCACCACCTGACTGTCCCTACCGGCCCCTCCAGGCCTCCGTCTGCCCCCTCACGGGTCGGAAGCACTTTGAAGCCGAGGACTGTGCCTCGTTCTCATCCTCGGACCCCAGAAAGTCCACGATTCGGGACACACAACTGGCATCCCTCAGCGCAGAGACGGGGGCGTGGCACGGCGCCTCGTCCTCCAGGGGCTCAGAGCCGCTGGGCTGGACAGAAGCACAGATAACTGCAACCCTCGTGGTTGGCCCAGGGACCATTTCTTAACCAACACTTCGGCCCACGGCTCCACTGGGCGAAGGACAGAGTGGTTTCCATGGAATCCACCGACGGGCCGTGCCCGGTGCGGCGAGCGCCCTCGGTCCCCGCTACGCCCAGGGCAGGGAAAGTGTCACCGGGGATGTGACAGGAGGTTCCCAGCGAAGTCAACATCACGCAACGGGGGAGGTCCTGGCCAGGAGCAGAAACCCTTCGAGGGGGAGGTTCGGGCGGCAAAGGAAGGCGCATCGCCCGTGGAGCTCCTCTCCCGAGGACAGGCACCGCCCGGGGCGCTGCAGTCTCCCCGGCCCCGCACGAGAGCTTGTCCCAAAGTCGGGGAGACGGAAGCGGTGGACTGTTACGCAGCCTCTCGGTGGTGTTTGTTAGGGGTCTTCGGCATCTCAGTATTAAATCATACACGGAGCTGCCACAACTGCTGGGACAAACACGACAGAACCGTGAGGGCGCCCCACCTTTCCCGACCCCCACGGGCCCGGGGGGAGGCGCACGTTCCCGTCTGTGAGCAGAGGCAACACTTGGTTTATAAAGAAACAAGAGCAACCGGCCGAAACGCTCCCAGACGCACGTCGGCGAACAGACTGCATTTTTGGGGACGCACCCTACGAAAGGAAGCTGTGAAGGCGCATGTGAGGTAGAGCCGAGTTTCAAAAACGCGACCATTTTCGGTACGGAAATGAGACAAAGGGTATTATTTACTTTTTGCTGTTGTAAACGGCGAGCTGCAGTTAGACTTCAGAAAAGATTTTCTCTCGAGAGAATGATAGGCAAGTACCGAGGCCCTGACTTCCAGCCCTGAGAGACGAGCCATGAAGTATTTTCCGTTTCAGACTCTGCACCGCGGCCCGGAGCATGCGGAGGGGTTTGCTGGGGTCGTCACACAGAGATGAGGAGTCAGGACAGTGCTCAGGTCAGAGGTTACAGGTCAGCACAGCGAACACACAGAGCAGGCAAACCCTCCACACTGACGTCGTCACCGTGACATTTACAGAGAGAACAGCCAGAAGGAACGAAAATGTGATGCAGGGAAACCAGAGGGAGAGAACGACACGCATCTCAGAAGGCACGACTGCCGGCCACAGCGGGGGAAGCGGGTCCCGTCAGTGACTCTGCGTTAGCGACGGGAAAGCTTTACGCACCTCATCATGAGGTTATTTCCACATTCTGGGCAAAACAAACAAAGCCAGACCCTCTGATTTGTATGCGCCGTCTGTGTTTCTCAAGGGTGCTGTGCCTGGGTCTTTGACAATCCCAGCTGGGCCCTTCGTGCGACCCGTCGGGCCGGGCCCGCCCGCTATGCCTGTCTGGCTGTATGGTTTTGCTGTGCTTTAAAGCAGGGGTCCCCCACCCCCGGGCCTCAGACTGGTACCGGTCCGTAGCCTGTTAGGAACCGGGCTGCATAGCAGGAGGTGAGCGGGAGGCCAGCGAGCGAAGCTTCATCTGTGTCTGCAGCCGCTCCCCAGCGCTGGCGTGACCGCCTCAGCTCCGCCTCGGATCATCAGGCGTTAGATTCTCACAGGAGCACCAGGCCCTGATGCCACGAAGGCTGGGGACCGCTGTTTTGAAACACCTGTCAATATTTTAACTGCACTTTCAACACACAATCTATTCTACAGCTATCTATCTAAAGTAAGCACTACACAGTTTCGCAGCCTTTTAAAACCGCATTTCTATGTAGGAACATGGAATAAGTAGTTAGAAAAACGCTGGTTATTCATTTTAGGTGGGGTCAAGGACATCAGTAAGAGTGTCACCCCATTTCCCTGTGGTTTAAGTCTGACTGTAGTTTTAGCGAAGAAAATACAAATCAGTATGTTAGTACATAGGTAAATAGACACTTTTAGTATTCACGTATCGCTTTCCATTAAATGTCAGAGGCTGAAAAACCTACAGACCGACTTAGACAACAATTATTTATCTGCCCCTCTCATCAAAGGAAATGAGACTGCTTATAATGCAGTTCACCTTATTGAATCTATTAGGATTTTGCTGGTAGCTGAGTAGTTCTCATAAAGGAAAATCTTTTCTTTTCTGGGGAGCTGCGGGAAAGCCTAAGAATTCTTAGTGTGGCAAAGATTCACGAAAATGATTTTCGATAAGGGACACTGTGATAACCAGCAAGAACTGTCCGAAGCGACAGCGCTTCGGCCAAGGGGACCAGCGGACATAAGACCAAAGACCACGACTCAAACTCCCAGGTCCCGGCCGCCCTGGGAGGTCAGCCCAAGAGTCAGTGCTGCCCGGAACCCCGCTTCAGCGGCTGGCCTCGCCAGAAGACACCGCATCTGTGCCCGCCTGCCGGGGCACGCTGGCCGCCCGGCTAGGACGGGGACAGGGCTAGTTGCTAACGTGGCAGAAGTCAGTTTTCAACAATAAAAAGCTCAGCCTACAGAAACCCAATTTTAGGAAAGAAGACATCAACTTTATACTGACTCTATTTCAAAATCTAATTTTTTAAAAAAATTTGATATTAGAAAGAAAGAAATATAGTTTGGGCTACAGCATCTATGACATTTGCAAGAGAAAACAAATTACCATCTTAGCCTGAAATAGAGGCTGTATTCTGGTTTTCTTTTTACCACAGTACATTTGTAAGTTTTATATCTTATTCAAAAAGCAAGGGAAAAAAAAAAAAAGTCAATTCTGTGGTAAAAACTTTTGGGGGCAAAATAAGTACTTGTACAAAAGTTGAACATTATTTTTATTGCAGATATTTTCATATACAATGTCAGTGACGCGATTTCTCTCCCGTCCCGTGACGAAGCCGCACGCCTACCTTAAAATACATTCAAGTGACAAACACCCTAGACGCTTTCATGTTACGCTCTGTTTTCAGTACCTGGGGGTTTGCTTTGGCTAGATTTTCTATTTTAACCCACGCTTCTTCACGTTCTTTCATTTTTAGCTTCTCTCTGAAAAACAGTAAAACGTCATCAGTGTTAGGGACACGAATCGGATTCGAGAAACGGGCGAGAGGGAACACACACTTGGGGCGCGATGTGACCCCACGTGCCCGCCCCTTTCTGGTGTCCGTCCGCAGGTCACGGTGGGGGCCACACACACGTGTGAGGAAAATGACCCAGACTTAGAGGAAAAGATGAAAAGAACATGCTGACACTTCAACACGTCTGAGAATTGACGTTCTTGCAAACACTTAGGCAAGCATTTATGTCCCTTTCCTCCCCCTGAGGAGTGGCTTCTTCACAGGATGGACATAATTTTGACTACGTATCCGTGAAAGCGACACTATCCCTCAGAGTAAAGGAACCCAGGTCAAAAGGGCCGACGTCCAACACTGATGACAGAAAAAGGGACAGTCTCCAGAGCCAGGAGGCCTGGGTTCCTGCCTGGTCCCTCTCTAATGAGTCATGTGACCTGGACCCGATTTTTCTGGTAAATCCAGAAACGTGCTACCTGATCTTCAAGGCCCCATTCGGAAAGCTACGCTGTTCTGTGAGAGAACGTCTGCCACCGGAAGGGCCTAGCGCTCAGGTACTTCATGTCTGAACGCGGCACTCAGTGGACGCGGGAACGCACCAGGCAGCGAGGGCGAAGGGAGGCCTGTGGCCCCCGCGGCCCTTCCCTGCCGTGCCCACCGCCTCCCACACGCTCTGGCTCACTTCCTTGTGTTCTGCTGTCTCTTTCTTTGGAAGCGACCATCAAGGCAAGGGTTTCGGTCTGCTTTCCTCACTGCTATGTTCTCAGAACCTAAGACCGGGCCTGGATATAAGCGAACACACAGTGCACGGGACGAGCTTGGCCGTCGGTCATGCGCGCTGCAATCTGAACTCTATTCATTCAAGTGTATTGACCTTAGCCAGCTTCAAGTGACAGGGAAAGAATAAAATCTGCCAACAGTTTATACTTGACTCTGAAGATGTGATTTTAATGATGAATTAATCACATAATTACTAGCACGGCCTGGGGACAGGGCGCCTCGTCACGTGGACTGTCCCTGGACAGATGCGGGCTCTGAAGGCCTGGCAGCGCGAGAGCGAGGCCCTGGTTTTGCGCAGGACACGGGCGAGGCTGCAGAGAATGCCCACGTGACGGAGGTCACCACAGAGCACAGCGATGGTGACGTGACGTCTCCTGCTGTAAGAACAAATCTGACGGGGTGTGGTCCAAACTCCGGCCCTCGTGAAAAGTTACTGCACAGTACAGCCTCTACCGTCCCCGAGGAAATCCTGAAAGTTCAATTCTTGACTATACACGCACTTTTTGCAAAAATGACTCAACTGGTAGCATAATGGAGAAAACATCTAACTCTAAATACGCGTTCTTTGAAAATAAGTTATCATAACAAAGGTTTTATTTGCTTTCAAGTGAAGAACACCATCTTCGGTAAACCGGCAGGAGAGGTTTACCCGGGGTCAGGGAGAGACCCCTGGAGGGGGAGCCGAAAGGAGCAACTTACTTCAGTTTCTCTGCTTTGAACTGCTGGGTGCAGTCATCAAACAGCTTCTGGTTCATCTCCATGAACAGTTTCAGCGCGTTGTATATCAAGCCATGTATTGTCCTGTAAGTAAAGCTCTGTGTTGAAACTGGGGACACTGGATCGCCGTCGTCCGTCTCCCCCTCCTCCTCGCCCACAGCGATTTCTGCTCCGGACTCCCCAGGCTATGTCGATAGTCCCACATTCCCCAGGTTTCCTAAGCTTTACACTACAAGCTGCTGCTTCTGGGCCCCGTGCTGGCTTCTGCACGCCAGCCGCGCAGCCTGGAATTCCTCCTTCGGGGTCACTCTTGTCCAAGTGCCTCCGGCCCTGCAGCTCACTGTCCCGGCTAACGGCGGCCAGGAGCCTCCCTACTTGGAAACTGAATAAAAAACGTTGAACACACATAATTAAGACAAACTTAATTATACAGAGAACGAAAACGGGAACATTTTATTTCCCGTAAATGTCAGCTTCCTCTTGATCTGATTTGCGAGGACAGGACATCAGCTTCAATGATGCTAGAGCAGTCTGGTGTCCAGCCCGGCTCCAGGCTCCGGCAGGACAGGCCCAGCGGCTCTGCGGCCCAGTGCAGCCTTGTGGGGACTCGAGTCCCGGCTGCCACCCATGCAGCCGCAGAGGCAACCCCAGCGAGGCAGGCAGAGCCTGGCCAGCCCTAGAATGTGGGCACTGATGAGACACAGTTACGCCAACACCCCAGACCCAAAGCCAAACTCCCAAATCACAGCCACTTTAATTCGCTTCATAATAAAAAACCAAACCCACATTTGGACAACACTCAAAAGAACATCTCTTTCTTTGCACTGGGAGGGAATCATGTCGTCACACACGGGAGCTGTGCCTAAACCCCGGGGCCTGTTGTCACCTGCTGGGGTCAGTAAAAAAACAGACGCTACAGAGGAGAGTGTGGGAAGCTGACCGGTAACGGCCGGACCGCTGCGGGGCGGTCCCGGCTGCCGGCTCTCGGCACCGCCTCCAGTCCCACCGCTGCGAGACCCCGGTGACCGTTCCCTGGGTACGGTCTGGTGCTGTGACTTGACTCGATGCTTCACCACGAGGTGAAGGTCACTGCAAAGCCAGTGCTCTGCGCATGGGCGCGCCCAGGGGTTCAGCTCCACAGCGCGTAGAGCGAGGGTCGCAGTAAAGCGAGCTATCATGCCTTTGCTGGAGGAGGGTCCTGCCTTCGGTTTGTGGGACACGCGGCGCCCATGAAGGGCGCACAGCGAGGCGTGCCCGCACACTACGCCCCCTCCATCAGGCATCACGGAACACTCAGGTGTGTGCCGACGTCCGCTCGGTTTCTGGGGGAAGAAAATGGCCGGGTGAGATCCAGCTAGCCGCACGGCAGGCGCTGGCCCGGAACGTGGGAGGGGTGTGCAGGGCGGGGGGCTGTAGGCCAGGGGCCACCACCCAGCTCGCGACTGCAGGTCGGGCCGCGAGGGGGTAGGACTAGAGGGTTCTGCTCGGCTCCTCCTGCTTTAAGTCTTAGCAACTGTAATGTAGACGATGGATAAAGCTCAGCCCTGACCCCACGTTTATGTAAATAACACGAGCACCGGCTCCGCGTTCCACAGGGAGACGGCGTGATACCAAGGCCGAGGCCTCGGGCGGCCGCTGCGGAGTAAACCGGTCCGTCCGCCCTCATGGCGTAAAGGACAAGGGGGGGCCGAGGCAAACGTGTGAGCTTCCTGCGGCTGTTTATGTCACCTGCCCTGTAGGCAGTGAGCACAGCGGGGTGGTTCTCGGTCTCACTGGAGTGTGTGACGGCAGGACTTGAGGGCCCCCCAAGAACAGGCAGCCACTGTGCTAACGTGGGGCTGAGCCCTGAGATCTTCTTCTGCTCTGGAGGGACCTTAACAAGACGTCTGGGAGACGCTGCCAGGGACACTGCCAGGGACGCTGGGTGCGAACGAACGTGTTCTGTGTGGGCCTGGAGCGGGGGTGAGGATGCGGACTGAAGGCCACCAACACAACCCGCACTGTGCTTCACGACAGTCCACAAAGAAACCAACACCCCGCTTTTCGACTGCTATTTCAGGCTCGGATTCCAGTCGTAACCGGTCTGACGGGCGAGCGGACCCTGCGGACTTACGAACCCGCGCGCGGGGCTGGCGGCAGCCCGGCTTTCTTACTTGTTCCAGTGGGTCTTCGAGTTGCGGTACAAGGACGGGAACATGATGGGCAGGATCTTCGCCGCGTTGTCGCTGATGAGGCTCATGATGTACTCGTTATTCCAGTAGTACAGTGCTCGCTCGGCCACCTGGACGACAGGACCGCGACCGTCAACAGCGAACGCCCTGCTGCCCGCGTGAACAGGGCCACGGCCGACACCGGACAGAAACTCATTATTTCTACAAACCCCAGATGCCCTGCAGAGCCTTCGACGAGGAGGCCGGTGACTTCCTGCGCAGAGGACACCGTCACCACTTATGCAGCAAACATGCATGCTGGACACGGGACCAAATGCGCTCCCTCTAGCCACCACCCGCCCGTCCACGGCACGTGTCATCTCTCACTCGTGTGGCGTGCCGTCGGCACTGGGGACTAGGCAGGGACACCGCGAGGCGGAAGTCGCTGCCTTCACGGGGCTTCCGTTCCATGGCGGGGGATCATCTGATTTATTAGAAGGTGTGATGCATGCGGTGACGAGCAGCAGGGGAGGGGACAGGGGCTGCTGGTGTGTGCGTGGGGGAGACGTGGTCATGGAGCACGTCCCTGCAGAGGGAGCCGAGGTAGGAGGGGTGTAAGATGGCAGCTCGGCGGCTGGCTGAGGACGAGATGGGGGCAGCAGGGGCGTGCGTGGTGGGTGGGAGGGGCCGGGCCACGGTTCTGGAACCGTCGGCAGCAAGTACACATGTCCCATGGGGCCGTGCTGAGTCGCCAACTCCCCAGGGAGACTGCGGTTTTGCCTATTTTACGCCTTGATTTTCACCGTGTTCGTGACGAGTTTACAATTAATATCTGATCAACACGACAGAAAGATGGGGTGGCCAGTTCCTCGGTGGAGGCGCAAGGGCTGAATAAAGCCACTGGGACAACCTCTGAAAGAGGCTTGAAGGATTCAGAAGGAAATCGGAACGAGA